AGTATGGCTTGACCCTCATCGCGTCCTCCAGGGGCGCTTGCGCCTCGCATTACATCGTTGACCGATTTTTCTGGCCCGTCCACCCTCCTGCGGCTGTCCCCCCGCAAGCGGGGCGCGGGCTTACTGGCTACAATGCGCATTTTGTTTCTATGCACGACCGCCACGGTGCACCGCGGCCTCGGCGCTCCCCCCGGGGCGCTGGGGCAAGTTGACAAGGAACACATTGGATCGACTGTCCTCCTCTTCCCGCGGCTGCCCCCCCGCTGGAGGCGCACGGGCCGCCTTTGACACAATATTTTGCGGCTGTTAGCTGCTACCCCATCCACAGTGCGGCCCTGGCCCTCAGCGTTCCCTCCGGGGCGCGCGTGCCAGGGGTATACCGATCATTTCCGAGTTGCTGGCCCGTCGGCCCGTCCACCGTCTTGCGGCTGTCCCCCCCGCAGGAGGCGCAAGGGCTTTTCACCTTAGCTCCTACGTCCTGGCCGCGTCCGCATTGACTTTATGGCCTTCGGCGCTTCCTGTGGCATTGGCTCAGCGACAGCAAGCACAATGGCCGCTCCTTGGCAGATGTTATCGACGGCGCTGCGTTGCCTCGGCCCGCACCTGCCGCCTCGCACGTCGGCTGTACCGTGGTACGTTGGCTGAGTGGATGAGTGTTCGTTGGTGTCAGTGCCCCTCCGTGTGGCTGCTACGTGGTAGGTGCACAAGACCCGTATTGACGACGGCGCCGGTATGTCACGGTCTGCCCTGTTCGGTGATTTGATTGGCGTTGACTTCTTCTTCGGGGCGAATGTTGTACGTGTCCTTCGCGAACAAGGTTGCTTAGGTTCCCTCCGCACGTGGGCTCGGCGTTCTTGCACTTCGCTTTCGGCCTCTGAGCGTGCTGCGTGCCCGCAGCTTCTGTCTTAAGCTGCTACTTTAGGCATGGGGGGGAACCGCTATCCTTCGAATGAGGGCGAGGGATGGGGGGACCGCGGGAGGGGGGGAAAGGAGGAGGGATGGAGGATGTGGGGGGGGGGACGGAGGACGGAGGATGGGAGAGGAGGAGGGAGTGGCGAATCGAGGGACGGGCGGGGGGAAGGAGGGAGGGAGGGACGAGGGAGGAAGGAAGAGGGAGGAGGAAGGAGAGAGGAAGGAGGAGCGGAAGGGGCGGAGGAGCCCGACGGAGGGCGAATTTTGGGGGAGAGGGGGGCGGAGGGTGGACGTAGGAGGAGGGAGGAGGGGACGAGGGCGGAGCGAGGAGGAATGGGGGAGGAGGATGGGGGGACGAGGGAGGAGTCGGAGGAGGAGAAGGAGGAGGACAGGAAGGAGGAGGAGGAGGAGGAGAAGGAGGGGGGAGAAGGAGGGAGGAGGAGGAGGGGGATGAGGAGGAAGAGGAAGAAGAAGAAGAATAGGCGGACGACGCCGCTCCCCTTCTCCCGCTCCCCTCATAGTTTTTCTCTGTGTCCTCCCCCTCTTCGTTCGTTCTTTCGACGCCTGGCGTCCCGTCCGCTTCCCAACCCCCCCATCGCTCTCGCGCGTATTGTGTGTGTTTGTTTCGGGCGGGGCCCGCCGCAGCGGTGCTGCGGATGGGGTCAGGCGAAGAGGCGCCCGAAGGGCGCAAACAAACGGTTGGGCATCAACGTCCATGTGCTGCACGCGCCACAAAGCGACCGCACTCAACATCACCCGTTATCCGTGGAGTTGCGGCCACGCGTCAACAATTTGCAGCGCGAACCAAACAATCCCCGCCCCTGCGGGTCGTGCTCACTGGTTACGGCACAGGCGCGCAGCCACGCAAATATGAATATTCTGCTTCGGGCAACGATTTTTCAGACGCCGAATGCATTGTGCTGGCGGCCGCCAGTGGAACGAATGGCGCGCGCGACTGCAATTTCGCCACAGCAGCTCCCCAGCCCCCCAAACGACAAGAGTCCATCACAATGCGCGCTTAGGCGATGTCCAGCAGACGGTTCAAAAGAATATTAACTTCGATTCGAATGCCACGGCGATGCGCGCATGCCTCTGTCAGGCAACTACTGGGCCAATCCATGCACCCCGGTGCCCATCAAGCATTGCGTGGCATTTGATTGCGCGGCGTGCTAAAGTGCTGCGACGAACACCACATTCGCGTCTTTATGTACCGTGCCTTCGTGGGGCGGCCTGGTAGTCACCAGCGGGCCGCCGTCGAACGAATGCGGCATACCTAGCGCCCGCGCCACTGGGGGCGCACAATTGCGTCAGGGCGGCTTTAGCGCGTGGTGATTGGCTGCTGTGCGTGGCTGCGTCGGCCCTGTGACCACAGCGTCAACATTCAGAGGTGCGCAACAATGTTTGCGATTCTCTGCCGCGGGCGCGCGGGCCAAACTGTCAGTGACACAGGCATTGATTGGATTTGCGATTGTTTTGCCTGGGCACTGTGGTGGTGTATAGATGCGTTCTGCGGAATCCCCCGCCCTTCCTCCTCTCTCTTTCACGCCCACCTGTCTCCGCCTCCCTCATGCCTTTGCGCCTTCCCCCTCCGTTATCCTCAACCCTCCTTTACTCCTTCCCCCCTCCGCCGCCCTTACCCAGCATCCTGCCCCACTGAGTGGTTGGAGGCACAGCTTGAAAAAATAGAAATCGCTCGAATCCGTGTTGCTTCAAGGCCGATCCCATTTGACATGCCGAGCCCTGACGCCAAGATCCCCAGGGAGACCCCCGATACGCGCCCAAAAAGTCACAAGAGACCACCAGGAGACCTCCACGGAAAACCGAAGAGACCCGACCCCCAGAAACCCCCAAAAGCCTTCCAAGAACGTCCCCCAAAGGCATCCAAAGAGACTACAAACATGGTCTTCCCAGGATGTTAGGAGTTTTCGGGCGTCGCCCCTTGGGCCGCACTAGGTCCTCCACGTGGCTGCCTTGCGTTACTGTGTCCTTGAGCTGCCCCATATCATTGACCCCCAGGGCTTTCAAGGGACCTCTCAAACACCTCCACGATTGTCCGAGGGGTCCATCCAGACGCCCAAAAGACTTTCAAGACCGCGAAAGACGGTCCACAGGCCACAAGCCTCCCGAAGCCTCACAAATATTATTTTCTGGCACATGCTCGTTGCATCTGCTCAGATTAGCAGAATCCTTTAGGGCCTGATTATCCGACGACTCTTGCAGCGCCCATCAGGACAGACTCTCCCAGATGGTGATCCTTGCGGGGTGATGTCCACTTTCGCTCAGTCTGGTAAGTTCATTTGGGTTGCGCTAGAACCAAAGCGCTCGTGAAGCGCGCGTGGGTCTAGTATGTGTATATGTACACACACGTCGATTTGCGCAACCAGAACGTGCACCGGTCCCTTGCCGATCTGTCTAGTTCCGCTGCGTGACTTGACGTGCAACTGTATGATTTATGAATGCGCGACGGCTTTCGCAATGATTCCACACCGCGTTGATTATGCGGACTCTCGTTTTACAGCTGTCATTAAGATGGCTTGTTCAGAGTGGGATTGTCATTGTACCAGGTGCTACCAGCTGCGACCCAGCTTCATTTTCAAATTCATACCTTCCGCTGTCCTCTCGTCGCCTCCCTCCCTTCCCCTGGTGCGCAATTCGCTCGTAGCCCGCTTGCTGCGACATTTGACGGCGTCCAGCTCTCCCGGTGCGCTCGCAATCAAAAAAATATCCCCACCAGCCCATTCAGAAGCCCTGCCCATGAGAGCTGACGGGAAAAGGGACGAATAGACACATCTAGTGAAACAAAGCGAGCAACCAGGGTGACCGAGAGCCGAGAGATCTCTGGTAGCAAGAGGGTGGCCTTGGAAGGTCTCTTCGGGCCATCCCTGGAGGCCGCGTAGGGGCGAGGGGAAGAGGAGGAGGAGGAAGAGCAGGATGAGGATAAGGACGAGGAGGACTAGGAAGACAAGGACGCGGATGAGGATGAGGACGAGGAGGACGAGGACTAGGATGAGGACGACGCGGACGAGGGTTCGTGGAACCATCTAGAGGTATCCTTGCGGCTGCTGCTGTTGTTGCTGGTGCTCTCTGGGAGTCTGGGAGGCCCTCTTGGAACCCTCTTGGTAACCCTGGAAGGCTTCTTAGGACCATCTTGGAGGCCATCGATTACAGGATGGGGGGTCCCCAACTCAGCTCCCCCCTCACCCGCAAACCACTTCTTGAGGCTCTCTTGGAGCGCTCTTTGGCGCTCTTGAAGCGGTCTTGGGGCCGTTTGGAGCATCTTGGGAGCCATCTTGAGCCGGTTTGGGCTGTCTGAGCCATTTTGGAGGTCATCTTGGGCTCGCTGAGGCTTCTCGGGGGCCTATTGGAGCCGTCTTGGGGTTCTCTTGGGACCCTCTTGCGGCCCAGGAGGGGCTATCTTGGGGCTCTCTTGGGAGCCCTGGAGCGCCTCTTGGGGCCATCTTCGAGGCTATCGATCAAAGGAAGGGGGGTCCCGATCTAGGTCCCCCCCCTGGGGCCCTGACAACCGCCTCTTGGAGCGCTCTTGGGCGTTCATGGGGCCGTCTTAGGGGCATCTCGGGCCCCTCTTGGGGCTCTCTTGGGCCATCTTGAGGCCTCCGAAGCACATCGGAAGCGAAACGGCGAGAAGGCAAAAATCTCCCGATCGAGGTCCCCCCCTCGGGGGCCACGCTCCTCGTGAGTGGTATCAAAAATTGGCCCTCCCAGGGGCCGAAAAAGGACTCTCCGGCCACCCGCGACCGCCGCCGAAAAAGGCCAGGGGAGGGGGGTAGGGGGAGGGTTAAACCCCTCCCCGAAGGGGAAGAGGGGTTTTGTGGAAGAGGAAAAACAGACATCGTTAGACCACCTGCGCCCAGAGGGCTGGTGGGATTAGGCACACAGCCAGCGTGCTACAGAGGCTGGTACAAATGGCGCTACGAGTTTCGATGCACTACGTGCACGTTTCACGAGGTTGGCGCCAGGATTACACGCTCGCCTTGCCGAGCTGCGTCGCCTGGAAAATTTGCCGCTATGAGTTCAACCGCTTGACGTATCGATCCGCGACAGCACGCGCACAACTTATCAGCTCTGGGGAAGGGTGCGCCGTGAAGCGGCCGCGCGCTGGTGATGAATCGCGGTCCCGCCAAAGGCGACCACCGCAATTACGAACCAGCCTGACGTCGCAGTTCCGCGACGCGCACCAACTGCCAAGCAGTTGGACGCACATTGAGCCATTTTGGCCCGAGCAATTTTTCTTTGCAGTTGTTCTTTTTGGACCAGTCCCTGGCGATACCAGCGGACGACTGCATTCGGTGACGATGGGCGGGCTCTGCAGCAAGCAGTCGCCCACCGAGGCAGCGGAGACCGCGCCGGCGCCCGCCGCAGATGTGGCCACCTACGGTAAAGGCTCATGAGGGAAAAATGAGCACAAGCGCAAATAAGTCATGGTTTCCATGAAGACATGGGAGGATTTTGGAAACGGGGGAGAAGAGGCACATCCAGAAATACTGACACGTATGGGGCATCCTAGGATCTGTATCGACTTGTTCGTGTCTCCCTGAGCCCCATTCCAAGGTTTTGAGCACAACGTGATGTTTCTCTGCAACCACAACTCCTGCCGCTCGCAGATGGCCGACGGGTGGCTGCGCCACCTCCGGGGGGATAGTGCGTCTGTGGGGGTGGCCTCGGCCGGTATCGTGGGGGGCACCGCGGTGAAGGAGGGCGCGATCACGGTGATGAAGGACCAGGGGCAACGATGGGGGGGGGATAGGCCCAGGGGGGAAATGCATCGACCCCCACACTCCCATTCATCGCCGATCGGGGCCTGATAGCCCCGCCCCACCCAGTAACGTTCGGATTTGTTATCGAGGGCCTATTGCCGATCGATCAGCGATGCTTCGCCGATTCCAGATCGAAGCATCCAGGTCGATGATGAAGTCTAGGCCTCCCAAGTGGGGTTCGAGTAGACAGGGTCGGAGGATCCCGCCGCATCGCCGACGCATCGGGGATGAAACTCGACGTGGAACCCAATGTTCTCCGCACCGACGTTTCCGATGCATTGCGGATCCTGGTGATGAAGGAGTCGAATAAGAAACATTGCATAAGCAGGAATTGTCGACGGTTCGCGCGGATTTCTTTGATCTGCGCTGGGCCCTCCTGGCGGCGCCTCCAGCGCCGCCCCTGGCGCGCTCCGCGCGCAAGGGAGGGTGTCTGGCGCAGATCCAAAAATTTGCGCTGACCGTTGAACATTCATTTTGCAGCTTTTTCTTTCTCTAAGGAAGTGGGCATCGACATCTCTTCCTACACTTCGGACGCTATGGCCGACTACAAGCACGAAGACTTCGACATCGTGATTCATTGGCTTACGCCGCACCGCCGACCCCTTGGGGCGGCAGTAAGAGTGAAAAACGGAGTTCGCGTAACGCGGTCGATCGAGAGGGCAATCTTGGGGTTTCGGCCTGTCTTACGTAGCGTGTGGGGTTCAAGGGGGGGCCTTGTAGGGGATTGTTTTGAAGTTTTTCGTGGTCTTATGTTAGGTTTTTGGGGGTCTTCACGGGGCCTGTCCCAGGCCTCCTTTTCCCGCCCCTGGATAGGCTCTGGGATCGTTGAGACCCAGCTGGGGGTGCGTCGGGCCAGAAGTTCGAGAGTGGACCCACCTGTGTCAACGAGGAGTTTCCTGAAGGCCCAGAAGGGGCGGAGAGCGCCCAAGAACTAGGAGTATGATGCCTCGAGCCTCGATCCACCCCGTGTTCCTTTCTTTGCGAAGGGGTGGCACCGGCCAGGGAGGTCGATCATTCAAAAGCGAGCTGAGGGACATAAGGAGCGGAAGCGAGCGTGCGCCCGCGGCCGCGTCGGCTCAAGCGGCCGGCTGCCCAAATATGACTGTGCCTCATTGTGAGGCATACGATTAGCCATCGAGACCAAAATGACCTTCCTACTGTTTAAGATGGTACGCCCTGTACCACAGGGGCTATCGCTACCACGGTACAACAGAGCTGGGGCTGTGCCTCGCCTAAGGCGAAGCTGTTGGTTGGGCCTCCCAACCATTTTCAAAGTTGGTAACGGAGCTGGCCTATGGTGGTCAGCTCTAGCGCTACTCCTCACCATCCACGGCACTATCTGGTGGACTACCGACATGGTGGAACATCAGGGTGCAGTGGGTTTGCGCGGAGGAATGTATATAACTACGCAGTATAGCAAGGAGACTTGCAGCGACACCTCTGCTTACGCGGAGGCCTCCTACTTTCGTCATACATCCCTGCGCTACTACACTTCTGAAGTCCACCCACCTACTTCAATTGGAAACTTCTTCGAAAACATACTGCATGGAAACGTGCGATACGACACGGTGCCGCCTCCACCCCCGCGCAGGCGTACAATCACAAATCAGAAGCCCCAACCTACTACATCCGACTACGAGCTGCGAGGCCATTGGATTGGTGTTGATATATTTGGGTTCACATGGGTCGCTATCGGGTGTGCGGTAGGACATATGCGTGGTGGAGACGACACAAGAACGACCGGGCCTCATTGGGATCCAGCCGGTCAGGTACCTTTTCCGCGAATTCGCTCGCCAGGTACATGCCTGGATCAACGTGACCACAGGCACCATGACACCCTCCCAGCAAGCTACGGCCCTGCAGCGAGGTTTGGGAGGTCTAGCACGGACCATGACCATGAGAGTCCCCCCAGCAGTTATCAATTTTGGCGTTAACATAGGTGGTCGCCATACCGACGGCGTCACCTACATCATGTTCCCTTTAAGCACGAAGTTCGAGAATTTAGAAGAGGAGCGCCAACTCAACCCTTGTACAGCTCTCATTGACTTCCGAGTCCATGCGGGAGAACGCATCGACCAGACGTTAGCACGATTCGAGATAGCCCGCTATGAAGCTGAAACGACAGGCTTCACAATCTCCAATTTCCAAGCTTCAACAGCGAGTTTACTCAGAGCTCTTGGAGTGGGGACATCGCGTGCACAACAGCTCCTGCAGCCTCTCAACCACCACATGCCGAGAGACCAGCAACAGTTTGACGCTCTACTCGAACGCATGAGGTCATATGCTCACATTGCTGAGAGAACCACTGGTAACATTGGTGGTATTCTCAGTCACGGCTACCGAACCGAGACCTTTCGCGCGGAGGCTAACGCAGGGCAATTTGCTAACAACGTCTGAAATGACGATCCACAACTAACTGAGACCGCTACACTACTGGCTCAGAACGGTGGATCCGCCTCGGGGTCGCAAGACTCCTGGGCCAGGTTTTGGCGACCTTCCGACGCGGGAGCCCCTGCGCAAGCCGCGACCCTGATGGGCTCAGCGGGGCAACCTGCCGAGTCCGATTTCGACTCCGGTACTGACACAGATACGTCTTCGGACGATGAGGCCACAGCCCTTGATTACTCCGATATGCCTGCTTACCTCACGGAAGGGCAACATGGCGCAATTTGTTTGATGCCAAAAACATAAGGACCGATGAAGGCGATTCATGACGAAACCCGCCCGTAAAGTACGGCGTATTGCACGACGAGCACTCAAGGGAAAAGGTAAGGGTCGAAGTAAGGGTAAAGGTAAACGTCGGCGATTGCATGGTAGAGGCAGGTTAGCATTCCTAGCATCCCTCTCTGGGCCACCGTATGAAGACATGTTTTTAGGTGCAGGTAGAAACCGTAGACATACATCAGGAAAGGGTAAGGGACGCCGGGGAAACCCGAATGATGCTATTGGTAAGACTATGGAGTGCGACATATGCCACAGCACACAGCACTTTCGCCGCGAATGCCCTCCAGGCGATGGGAGAGGCAGGGGTCCGTCAATACATCTGGCTCAAACCGACTCTGACATGCGATGCGTTGACTGGGAGTGTCTTGTAGCTGACCCTGCCGATCACTCAGCTGCAGTTGTCAGCTCCATGGCTGCCAGATGCCTCGGCGCCAGCATGGCCCTCGAGAATTGCGCCGACGAGGTGTTCGAGGAGGTGTTCACTGGCCGCGACGATATCGATCTGGCAGAATGGCTGGGCATACCCATCGCGGGGCAAACTGCAGATATTGAGTTTGTCGAGAACTTCGACATGCCCGCCGAAGGCGATGCAGACATGGCGGGGGCGCCCGCGGATTCAGAAGTCATTATTCATGCAAGAGACGAGGAAATACAGCTGATGCTCTATCCTCGGGCGATTGAAGATCCGACGAACATGGAATTGAGTGGCGACGACCCTTTGCGGGGAAACCCGCGAGACGCTAGCGATCTGTCCGGGCGCATTCAATCTGGGCTCGGCCACAATGAAGGGTCTCAGTGCACATCCGTCGCTTCGGGCCGCTTTATGAGCCGCCAGAGGCGATCGGCGAGCCGCCAGGCCTGGGGGAAGAATATTGCGGCGATGATGATGCCGAAGAATGGGAGATTGACGATCGTCTGGAACGACGCGGTCGCATTCCCAGTGGCTCACCTAATCGGGCGAGCGAGCGTTCCAGCGGCGCTCGCTCGAGCGGCCTGCAGCGCCCTCATCCCCCTGATGCCGTTGCTCCAAAGGCCCCTCCATGGCGGGCCAATAGACCTGGCGCCCCTCCAAGGTGGGGCCGCCTGCGGGGGCGCCCGCCTCCAGAAGATCAACCTCAAGAAGAATATCAAGATTGCGGAATACAGCGTCTCGTTGGCTACGCGGAAGCTGGATTAGCTCTGGATTGGCTCGCCAGCACATGCCCCCAGATACTATGCAGCATCGGCTGAACAAGGGTTGGAACGAGCGCCGGATTCGTCGCAGGCATTCCCTTCGCAATATTCAACGAGGTGAAGGTGGCGAGATCATGCGCCCCCCAAAAGGCAGGACCTGTCAAATCACAAGAAAAGCCCATCAAGCGTGACCTCAAGGGAGCTATCGTCGAGGAACGGAAGCTCTACAGAAACGTTTGTTGCTCGCGCCCCGAATATGCCGGCCGCGGGCCCGGTTGCCCCGCGAGGCGCCCATCAAGAAGCCCGAACTTTAAAGGGGCACCGTGGTTTTGGTCTCATGGCGATGGTCGCGGTTATGGCACCGATCCTAATTCAACGCCGTATGAGGAGCAACGGAGAACGACTGCGATCACGCTGCAGCCGAAGAAATAGCCCGATCCCTCCTTATATGGAAGCACCTGTCACCTCTCCATCCTTTGAAGCGGTTCAATCGCGATTGGCATGCGGGGAAACCTGCTACTCCCAAATCAGGAGAAGACGATCAACAAGAAGCTGATGAAGATGCAGTTGATGCAATGGGAGAACAGGTAGACCCCGCGGAAGAGGCTCCTGAAGGGCACGTTTCGGAGCATTCCGACGCGCACTCCCTTGCCGCGGACGTCGCTAACGATGCGGACACTGAAACGATGGATCTCTCCCCAGGAAGACGAGTCGCTTACCGCGCTGGAGCTGGGGGACGGGCGAAGGCCACTGTCGACTGTGGTCTATCAGGGGAAAGACCACCATCGGAAATATGGCGCTCAGAAGGCTCGACGGTATAGACCTGAACCCCGGCAGGAACCCCGCGTGACATGGGCCATGGGCACCGGCAGGTGCAACGGCCAAGGCAGCGCCCGAGCCGAAGCCAGACCCGCCTATTGATATTTCTCCATCTCCGGATTCGTCGAGTAAGTCGCCATTGCCTGATCAGCTCAGACCACCGCTCAAACAGAAGGAAGAGCCCCGATGATCCCAATCCTGGAGACAGCGTGCAGCAAGGACCTGCGGGGCAACCTGCTGATAGACGTCGATCCAGAGGGCCAACTGCGGCTGCCGCAGCAGCTGCGTTTCAAGGCACCAGCACTCCCACTCCGAGGGGCCCTGTCCCACGTCGTGGCCCTACACCGGGTCGGGAACGCAGGGCTGGCTGGATGCCGACGCTGGAGGGATCAACAAGGGATGCTTCTTCACCGCGGCGCTGCACCCGTAAACTGTCATTGGAAACCGCGTCAAAGGCATCAGGGGCAGCTCCCAAAGATAAGGCAGCAGAGTACTACAACATGAAGGAGAAATGCCAGGACTTTGACGTCAGCGCCCCGCCAAGGACTCCTCGGACGCCTAGGAGAACGGCAGGCGCTGCCTCATCATCGGCAGGCGCTCGCGGACCCGCAGCGTCGGCGACAGCGCAGAGTTCAGCGGGGCAACCTGCTCAGAGCTCTGCAGGTCAATCTGCTCTTACTTTGGACGTGCCCGTGGAGTGCCAACAGTATTGGGTGGGGCAGTTTACGCACTTCCAATCGTATGAAGATCAACCCAGCATACCATCCTCTATTTGACGACGGATCTGATCGATAAATTGCGGTGCAATGCGACGTTGAAGATGCCGCCGTCATTGCCGGCAAAGACGATCATA